AACTTAGAAGACAAGCTATTTTGAGTACAAGAACTGACTTGTCCGTCGGAGTGCTAATTTCGGCACCCCCGACCGGAGTGTTTGTGTCTTTTTAGGTGACTAGCTGAGGATCACTAGCGTCTCCCAAGATCTGAAGAGTATTTCCAAAACTACTTCTCCACACCATAGATCTTAATAACATCGTAGAAAAAATCTTCAAAGAGTCTGTAACTTCTTCTTTCAAGTTTGATTCTTTCCATGGCATCTTCAATCCCATCGAAGTTCTTGGCTAGAGCGAGTTTGTTGACGATCATAGTGTAGAGAGTTTCATTTGGTCGATAGTCTTTGCGATTTGAGAGTTGGGTTAAGAGAGAGAGTGTTGAATTGGGGTTTTTGAGAGTTTGGAAAAGCTTGAGAATCTCATTGGGGCTTAACTAGTCTTTGTGGTTGAGAATGGTGGGATTATTCACTTTGCTTACTTTTGGTTTTCTAAAAACACTTTTCAAAAATTTTTACTTTTTTGTTTTCCATTTTTTTTTGTTTTTACTGATTTTTTTAATATTTTAAGCAATTTTTTTTATTTTTAGACACACCTAACATAAATATACATAAAAGTATAATTTTTGTGAAAAAAATCTTTTAAAAATTCACTAAATACCAAAACTACAAAAAAAGAAAGAAAAAGAGAATTGAGTATGTTTTTCGTATTTTTATGTATTTATTATTTTTTAAAATATTTTTTCACAATTTTTTTACTTTTTAGATACATCTAAGTAAGGTTCATCTAAAAAAGTAAAAAAATACTTAAAATTTTAAAAATATTCACTAAAAACAAAAAAAAAATGAAAAAACAAAAAATTCAATTTACAAAAAACTTAATTCAAAAAATTCAAACCAAACATACATATTGGAATCTGGAGATGACCCAGATGAAGAAACAAAGTGATAATAATAGAAAAATTAGAATTTCATTTTTTTAATTCAAGAAATGTATATTGAGATTTTTTCATTCTTAAATAATGTGTACAGAGAATTTTTCTATATAATATTATGGGTGTTGCTGGATGTCTATTATGGTTATTTTTACTTAGAATATAATTCAGTGTATTTGGTTTGAGTTTTTGGGATTAAGTTTTTTGAAAATTAGTTTTTTGGTTTTCGTGTTTTTTTTTAGTGAATATTTTTAAAATTTTAAACATTTTTTAAACTTTTTTAAATGCATCTTACTTGGATGTATTTAAAAAGTAAAAAATTTGTGAAAAAATATTTTAAAAAATTAATAAATACATAAAAATATAAAAAATGTATTGAATTCTTGTATTTTTTTATTTTATATATTATTAGTATTTAGTAAATTTTTAAAAGGTTTTTTTTCATATTTTTTGTATTCTTAAGTATATTTATGTTATGTATGTTTAAAATTAAAAAAAATTAGTAAAAAAAAAAACATAAAAAATAAGAAAATAAAATTTTCTGAAAAATATTTTTAAAAAACTCTAACCAAACAAAGTGATGGTATTTCACTCAACTAAGGCCAAGTTTGGCAACTCTAAAAAAAGCTAAAAAGTTACTTAAAAAGTTAAAAAGTTATCACTATTCACAAAAAAATAATATTAAAAAAATAATTTCTCACACATCATACAACTCAGCCAACATGAAAAGTCAAAGGGGGCTGTGCAGCGTTTGTCTCAAGTATTAGACAGTTTGGGGCAATTTTTCACACATTGTTGTTCGGTCCATGGGGGCCTATCACGGGTCCTGTTTTGATAATCTGAACCGTGCAATGTGTATAAATTGTCAAGTACTATATGTCTGTAAAAAATTACATTGATCGGATATCGATAACTACATGATCAAATCCGTTTTGTATGAAAAAATGGATGGTGTTATAATTAACGATTGAAAAAAAACAAATCTGATCAGATAGCTATTGATATCCGATCAACGTGATTTTTTATAGGCATATAGTGCTCGATGAGTTCCACACATTGAACGGTTCAGATTATCAAAATGGGACCCGTGATGGCCCCCACGGGCTGAACAAAACAGTCCACTACAATGCCCAGAAAGTACCCAATAATTTATTACCAAGAATTCGGCTGCCAGATTGTACAGCTGTCATTCACTCATCTCCAATCTTCTCCTACACACTTCTTTATATAATTTTTTAATACACATTTTTTTTATAAAAAAGTCAAAACACCTAAACATCCATATTTTTTTCCTTAACTTTTTAGTCCAAAAAGATAAAAAGTGTACTTATTTAGGACACCCCAAACAACCCCTAATTATTTCCCATATATCAATCAGCCTTTATTACCCATGTTTGCTTTCTCTCTCCTCACGTGCCAAGCACCACTCTCACCAAATTACCGCCACTTTCTCTCTCCTTTTTCCCATTTTCAAATTCAGCCTTGGTTTGGTTTTCCTCCCAATCTATATAATCATAAAAGATAAAAGAAAAAACTACAAGATTATAAAAAGACAAAAAAAAGTTACAAAAGTATCAAAATATCCCATATATAAACAAAAAGTCAAAAAAATATCATTCTATACTAAGGGCAATTTTGTCATTTTAAAGCTAAAATGTCAAAAAAGCCAAACAAGAAGGGTGCCTCTATTTACACACCATAAATTATCTCAAGGCAAACCACTTCTAAAAACACACCTTTAATAATTTAGTAAATATATATTTTGCTCGTCACACACCATAAATTTACATATTTGTCCTTACTCACACACCAATCCACAACAATATACACACAAACTCCCATATTTACCCTCACTCACTCACACACCCCCACACATCCCCACACACCCACCTTCGTCCATCTTCCCCCCTCCATTCTCAGTTCAAGCGGTGAACATTGTGTTGGTGCTCAACAAAGTCATTAAACATTAAACATTCGAAAACAAAAAGAAAAAAATACTAATTTTTAACACGAGACTACCTCATTAATAATAAATTGACTCGTGTAGTCAACAAGACCCCAAGATCCAACATTACTGCATTTCACGAATGCACAGTTCAGGAAAAAAAAAATTTATAACTGTTCGGAAGTGCAGAATTGAATTAAATGAAATAGTTCGACCGTAGCAATCCGAACACATTACATTTGTTCGGTTTTAGCTAGTCGAACAAATGGAATATGTTCGATTGTAGTCTGTTGAGCATATGTAAGTTGTTCGATTGTAGTTTGTTGAACATATGTAATTTGTTCAATTGTAGTCTGTTGAACATATGTAAGTTGTTCGATTGTAGTTTGTCGAACAATGATATATTATTCACTTCTGGTTAACCGAACAATGATTTACCACTCATACATGAAAACGAAGACAAAAACAACAAAAAAATTAACCTTTTCATTGCTCCATTCTTCCGAATGAGAATTGCCAGATGCATCATTCATTGAATCCAATCGAAATCTTCAATAATACTATATTTTTGATTATTTGTTGAAGGGTTTTTTATTTTGATTTTAGGGTTTTTGGATTCTTGACAGAGAAGATACGTAAGGAATTAAAATGATGAATTATATTATATTGATTCTTGTCCTTTATGGTAAATACACATATGGTGTGTATCATAAATTGTCCTCTATAGTCATTTCACTTAAGGTTAAAATTGTAATAAAAAATAAATAAAGAGTGCTGCTATTAGCACCTGCCAAAATTCTTTGGATCCCCCATTTTATAATTTTTTTTATTACAATTATACCATAAAGTAAAATTACATTAAAAGTCATTATTAAATGGAACACCCACCTATCAATAAGAACTAATACTTTATAATATTGGACACCCACCCCCACCCCCACCTCCACCTCCACCTCCACCTCCAACTATATGTATTCCTTGTTTGTAAACCCTAAATCTATTACTTTTCATAACCAACTAACATAAACCCTAAATCTATTATTTTTCATAATCATCTTAAATCCTGAATGTGTCATATTCATCACCATCATCAATGCTATTGAACTTGAAAGTTTTGCTTCAAGTATAACGTATATTTCATCACTTATTTCACTGTGTAGAGCAATGGAGGACGAGGACAACATTCTCAGTTGTTTATCTGTCTTGTATTAACATTTTCGGTCGTTTTCGGAAGTTTTTGTTTCGTTCGAACTGTTCGATACTGGTTTGCTGACTGTTAGAATTATGTTCGGTAATACGGTATTGAACATAATCCTTTCGTTCAATACATAGGTTCTGAACATTAATACAGATAGTCATTTATGTAATTTTCTTTGTTAAACTAACTTAGAATGGAAGAGAGTGAATTGGAATGGATTTAAGTTATGTATTTTGAATGGATTTAATTCATGTTATTTTAAGTTGTGAATTGAAATGGATTCAAGTTACATAGTGGTGAACAAATTTTGTTCGGACATACAGTGCTGACAGGATTATTATTGTTCGACAAAACAGTTCTGAACAAAATATATTTTTTCGGCTACACAGTGGTGAACAAATTGAGTGGGTGTGCATTTCATTGTGAAAATATGGAGATTAGTTTTCTATTCTGAAAATATTATGGAGATTAGTTTTCCATATATATACATTGTTTTCTATTCTAACAATTCGCATCAATCTTCACTTTCTCATCTAAATTTCCCAATCAATGGCAAATTCCAAAGACCCACGTCGTCGAAATCCCAATTGACGAATAACACCAACCCCACAAGTAAATGCATTGTGTTTTCAAGAACCACTTTTTAGATGTGGTTAACGTTGAGAAAGAAGAGAGAGAAAAAGCTAAGGTTTTGAAGGGGTTTTGAGAGAGAGAAAGAGAGAGAGAAAAGATAGAGAAGAGAGAAAAAAATCTTTACTTTCTCATCTGAATAAAAGGGGTTTTGAGAGAGAGAGAGAGAGAGAGAGAGAGAGAGAGAAAAGAGAGAGAAGAGACATCACTGATGAGGAGAAGAGAGAGAGAGAAGAGAGGGAGGCAGAGAGTGGGTGTGGTTGGGGGTGTGAATTGCGTGCATTTACTATGGATTTAGGCTAAGGTTAATGTTGGAATGGATTCAGGTGGGTGTGCATTTCATTGTGAAAATATTAGGAATATGGGTAGATTTGGTAATAAGTTGGGTGTCCAAAAAAATATTATTGAAATTTAGGGTTTACGGTTGGGGTCTAAAGAAATGAGGGTCCAAAGAATTTTTATAGATGCTAATAGCAACACTCTAAATAAATTAATGATTTGTCTTGAGAGAAAAAGTGATGTATAAATAGAATGACCCAAACAAAAATACCAAACAACTAAAAAAAAGTCTCAAGTTAAAAAAAAACCAAAAAATCAATTAAAACAGCGAAAACCAAACGACACCTCAAAAAACCACTCCCCTCCCCTGTTACGGATCACTCTCAAAAGCGTCGCAGGAAACACATTTTCAAAAAACAGAGAGGGAGAGAGAGTGAGATCTCACTCACAGACAAACAACAACACTCTCCAAACCCTCCTTCTTCCTCATCATCACTTCTCAGAGACATCTCCAATTTCAAAACCCCCAAACACCCTTCCCAAAACCCTAATCTCCACTCTCCACACCCCCAATTCTTCACCGCCTCCAAACAAACCCCTCACTCCTCTTCCATTCTCCGTCGCCACCGCCCTTCTCTGGCTTCTTCCTCGGCTCGATCCAAAGTCTCCCGCAGACTCAAAGCATTCGAGCTCGAACAGTGTAAATCGGCACGAAAGGCCCAAATCGACAAAGAAAAATCTCTTAATTCGCTCGCAAAATCGCTAACCGTATGGCTCAATTTCTTGCTTCAGAACCCAGTTTCATGCGGTTGCGATTTGTCGAAAATGACTGGTCAATATGGGTTTGAGGAATCGGATGTGAAGTTGGTGTCTGGGAATGGGAAGAGGGCGAGCAGTCGAGGCGGTGGGGTTGGAGTGGATACTCCGTGGCGGTGCCCCAAGAGGCAGAGGGATTCGGGTTGGCGTGGCGTGGCGAGAGAAGAGAGTACGGTGTTTTTGAATTCGAAGCTTTTGGCTTTGCAATCCTCGTTGCGGGATGTTTGTAGTTTTGACGATTTGAAAGAGCGAATGAAGGTTTACTTGAGCTTGGGTAGTTGTAAAGAAATTTTCAATGTGATGACTCAAGTAACAAAGGTCTGTTTTTGAATTTGTCGTTATAATTTTCTTCTCATTGTATGATTGTTTCAAATGTATGTTTGCATATGTTGGTGTAGTTTAAGTTTGTATGGATCTAGTTTATGCTGATTAATGTTCTGAAGAATGCATTTTTAGAGCAATATTTCATGCTAGAGTTGGATTTTGCTCATCTTTCAGCCAACTTTTGAGTAGTGATCATTATTTTTTTATTTTAAATCTGATTTTGTATTTCTGGATGTCTTGTTTGTTAGCGTTAGGCTATCTCCAACCCTTACTACACTTCTACTAAAATCGAGTAGAAGTTTGAGTAAAAAACTTCATTTGATATGAACTCAAATTTGAGTAAAATTGCCAAGTGTAAGTTTTTAGTGGATGCTAGGGGTTCGAGTGGAGGAGAATTTGGGTAAAAGCATCTATATGTCAAGTTTTGATTGGATAGAAATTTGAGTAAAGGAAATGGGTCTCCCTTGATTGGAGTCAAAATTTCAGTAAAACTCAATCTGGTATAGGTTGGAGTAAAGGACTGGAGTGGATTTCAGTGCCTTTTTTATTCAAATTTAAGTCTAAGTCAAGATTTGGTCAAGATTTGGTTAAGCCTTGGAGATGCTGTTAGACATTAATTATCAACTTACTAATAGTTGTTATTTTCTTTATTGGAATCATTGATAGAGTTTAGTTGCAAGTTTGTACTTACTTGCAGATTTGACTTAAAATTAGCTACGGCGTTGCTAATAATGGTTTTTGAATGTTCTAATATAAATATCTGTTAGAATTTGTTCAAAGCATTTGATTATATTATTGTTTTACTATTCAGAATATAGATGAAGGAAGATTGAAAATGAAGTCACACTGCCCTATTGTAACTGATGTTGGGTTGAAGGAGAAGGCCTCGAGAATCCTTATGTGTTATAACCCAATTTGGCTCCGGATTGGGTTATATATTATTTTTGGTGGTGATTCATTGTTGTCAGATGAGGACATAAATTCTGAAAAGGAAATTGCATTCTTGAAGATGGTTATTGAGAAGCAGTTTTTTTCTAGCTAGAGTTTATGCTTATAACAAGTTGGTTGAGGGTTTATATAGACCAGGTTACTTTGAGGCATTGGGGAATGTTATATTGAAGAGATTTTTGTTGCTTGTTCTTGTACTTGATAGAGCTAAATCTCAGAGCTGTCTTCCTATCAAGTATGGCATTGATGGATTGGATGGGGGTTCTCCTCTGCTATTTACTTTGCAACCTAACATTAAATCGAGTTGTCAAGTGATCCATGGTAATTAAAAAAATATTATTCTTCATATCATTTTTGGTTTGGTATGTTTTCATTCTTTCTTTGTTAGGAGTGTGGGTTGACTTTTTTCTGTTTTGATTCAAGTTAGATTTCTTATCATCGGATGTGATGCATGGAGAAGGTAATGTTCTTGCTCATCTAGTGATTGTAGGGTACAAAGTATCTTACTTACAGGTAAGCTCTAAGCAGCTCAAACTGTGCATATAATTCTTATTTTCTTGCGTGCATGTGTATGTGCTTCTGGTTGTTGCGAATTTCAAATCTCTTTTTGTACTTTCGATTACATGGTTTTGGCCTCTATGGCTCTTTTAAAAATTGAAAATTAGGCATTAACTTAATTGAGAATCCACATTGTAGAGTTTTTGATTTCATAAAAGAGTAATTTGCCAAAACAATGTTGTTATGGTCCAGAGTCCTTTCAATGAGTATGACTTCAGGGTGAAAGAATTGTTTGAAGATCTTCAAGATGGGGTGCGGCTTTGTAGAGCCATTCAGCTCTTGCAACATGACGCTTCCATTCTCATGGTTAGCCTATTTTCCGGAAAAAAAAAAAACGATAGGTATCAATTATTCTTAGCTGGATATACTGTAACTGGTGACCTTGTTGCTCAATGTTACGGACAGAAAATGTTGGTTCCATCAGATACCCGTAAGAAGAATGTCGTGAATTGTGGCGTTGCCCTTCAACATCTGAAACAGGCTGGTGTGCCATTATTTGATGAAGATGGATCGATGATTGTAGCAGAAGACATTGTTAGTGGAGATAAGGAACTCACACTTTCGTTACTTTGGAACATCTTTGTTCATTTGCAGGTATGCTCGCAATCTTGTCACTCTTAATATTTCAGAATGCCTCAAAACATGATATTGCAGTTTCTATTACATTGAACCTGAATATATAATTGGGTTTTGGCATTTTGAATTAGAAAATTATGTAGTGCAATATGCTTTTCACTTTGGGTTTTCCAAATTTATTTTGTACTAGTCAGATTTTTTTTTCAATGTTGGATGTACACTGAAAATTATCTTTCTGGCACTAGGTTTTGTAGTTGCTAAAAATAGGAGTGATAATTGTTGTACTTGTTCATCAGCCCTGTTATTTAATCTGCAGCTGCCACTTCTAATCAACAAAACGCTTATATTGGAGGAAATTTCCAGAATCCAAGGAGTCAATGCGGTATGCTTCAATTTGGATAGCTGTTTTATTTTTATTTTATTTTATTTTTTAATTTCTAATTGGTAGGTTAAGGAGTATACCCATCAAGGAGGTACTTAGAGGATGTACTTCCATTAGTGGAAGACCAACCTAGCCTCTTAATTTAAAGAAATGTTGCTGTGTAATAAAACTATATATATATTTTTTGCTTGTTGGTTTTTAATGTAATAAAATCCATTTCCGAAATTCATTTTGAGCTCTTACAGTTCTTGATATTTTACAGGAACACTTGAACAATTCCACTCTTTTGGACATGCTTCTGAATTGGATCCAGGTACTAATGTTCTCCAGTGAATTAACTTGCTGTTCTTTGTTAACTAATTGAATGCTATATTCTTATGATTCATCTATTATCAACTTTATTGCTCATCTAGTTGTCAATTATTTCCTTTCTACTTTCTTTATTTTCTTCTTTAAATTTTTTCCAAATTGGGACCATAAAGTGCAATTCATTTTTCTTTAGTAAATCCATCTAAGAGTTTGGGAAGTCTTTTTAAAACACTGTTCTCTCTTCTCTTTTGTCTTCCTCTTTCTAATCATCAAATATGCAATAACATTTTAAGAAAGGGCTGCATGGGGAGAACTGAGTTGTAGGTCTGCCTGTGCATGCTTCTGTATTTTGCCGTAATTTATTGCTACCAAATCAAAAAGAGTGAGCAAAATGAGAGCAGTGAAATGCATCCCATTCTTTTACTCTCTCTCTCTCTCTCTATATATATATATATATATATGTGTATATATTCATGTAGACAGATATATTCATTTACTTGTGTTAGGTCTCTTGTCACTGTTTTTATCGTACATCTTCCACTTGGGCTTGTTACAAGATTACTTCTACACACACTCTTATCTACCCTTACTCTACCCCTCTCTTGGGATGAGGAAACCCTACTTTTCAACAAGAGAGTCTTTCCTGTGAGTTAAACTCTGATGTACCAACAACCTCCTCTCTAGGGCACATGTTTTTACAACTATCACGGGCCACATCCGGAAGAGGGCCAATGCCAACACAGTGCTCGTCTTGCTCGGAAGTCCACTACATGTCGTAGGCTGGCCTCTGTTTCCGCTCTTGCCCCTCTGAAACTGCTAAAGTCTCAGAAATTGCTTCCCTGATACATTGGGAGACACCACCGGCTGAGGAGAATGGCCACCGGCAGTAAGATGTGATCATCGGCTGTTGATGAAGCTATCGGCCACAGATTTATGGGTCGGTCGGCACTGAACACTGCGGTCGGCCAGAATGTCTGCAGAACCTCAATTGGAACAGCAGGAGGGGCAAGGCCACAGCATGACAATAGCATTTTCAAAGCAATGTATGCACCGACCATATCCCTTATCATGTTTATGACTCAAAGGGACATGGTCCTTGGTTTCTCGGACCATCAAGCGCGCATTCAATGCGTGATAGCCCAAGAGACACAGTTGTGCATTTTTCATTTTCATGTAATACAATGCACATAGTCACCAAGGGGCTTCTACCTCTATCATGATCC